CATTTTTAAGCGGTCACCCATCGAGGTACTGACCCAGCTCGACGTTGCCTAACTTCGGTGATCGTACAGGGACATGTGTTTCAACGTAATGCTAAGCATACCTGTCATTTTTAAGCGGTCACCCATCTAGGTACTGACCCAGCTCGCCGTTGCCTAACTTCAGTGATCGTATGGAAACCAGTGTTTCAACGTAATATGGCCATAATAAGCTAAGATTAGGAATTATATCTTTTGTATTGAGAAAAGAGACAAAGACAAGTGATCCTTTCCGTAAGTTTATATTGAGTAGTGTCCGGGTCTCTGTATTTCCCTTAGAACCTTGACCGATTAAGTCTTTTCCTTTTCCTATTTGTCTTATCTCTTCAATACGTGGGGGATCATGGCTCTTCACAGCATCCTATCTGTTGTAGCTTTGAGAAGTGTCTGCCTTTTCAGTGAGGATCGAACTGAGTATCAAACCGAACTATCTCACTATTATCCACTGCTAAAGCGCTCTATAAGCCAAGCTTGACAGAGTTTGAGCAGAACACCACAGGTTCGTGATATTCGGTGAGGATCGAACTCAATACTCAGTAGTAATGTTCAGCCAAACTAGCTTTCTAAGCATTATGCCACACTAAGACGCCCTAAGAACTAAACTTGTTTTAGATTGGCAAAAGGCTACAAATTTAGGGCATTCGGTAAGGATCGAACCAGCACACTAACCATAATCCCATTCCAAGGCGCCTTAAAAATCAAATTTAGAGCATTCGGTGAGGATTGAACTCAGTATTAATGAATAACCAGATTAGCGGGTTAAACATTACCACACACCGGGTCGATCAACGACTGGTTACTAATATCGGTTTGACGTACAATTGTCATCGAGGTAAGCAAAATTCAAGGATATCCATCTGATCTTTTATTAGCGGAAAATCTGGCATCAGCCCCTCTCCTTCTCTCCCCTTAACACTATCGCTATTTTTTTAGTCTTCAAGATTCTGGGCTTTTACTCGATATCATCTTCCATTTTAGCGGATTGAATTCATTTTCAGTGGTGCGGAATTTTATTTACATTTCTTTTGTTCCCTTAGGGAATGACATCAGAAAAGATATTTACAAAGCTTTGTTATTTATTGTTTCAGAATATTACCAACGGACGTTAGCGTTGAAAAGGCAAAACCCGCAACTCCGAGTGCTTTTGGCTGTCGGTGGCTGGAAAATTGGATCCAAGCCTTTCCTTCAAATGATGCAATCTCAATACACTATGAAAATATGGAGCCAGAATGTCATCCGTTATTTGCGCAGGTAAGTCAATATTTATTTTTTTTCTCATGAAAATGTTATCTTTTTCGAGTATTGAAGGCCAACACTTTGTAAATAGAATAATTTATTTGTTCAGGTAAGTAGGGGAAATTGTTTGGATTGTTGCTCGCTACAAAATAGAGCTTATTGTAAAGGCGCATGATATTTCTATTCATGCAGTCATCATAAAAGAAATATTCGATTTTTTTCTCGAAGACTTCTAGGTATAATCATTTCTGGCCTAATCGTTAGGTAATACTTCTACGAAACTTAATGGTCACGGTCATCCAATTAGAATTAGGTTTCAAAAACTAATCAATGGTCATGAATATTCAACTAAAATTAGATATAAAACATTAGTCAAAGTCACGATCGTTCAGCTAGAATTAAGTTTCCAAATCAAGTCAACGTCCAAGATGATGCAGCTAGAATTAGGTTCCAAAAACTAATCAAGAGTCACGATGATTCAGTTAGAATAAATTTCCAAAAACTAACTAATTAACTGTCACGATCATTCAACTAAAATTAGGTTCCAAAAATTAGTCAAAATCAGGATCACTCACTTAGAATTGTATTAAAAAAACTAATCAAGAGTAGCGATCATTCAGCTAGAATTAAGTTTCATAAACTAATAAACGGTCACGAGCATTTAGCTACAATTAGGTTACAAAACTAATCAGTGGTCATGATCATTCAGCTTGAACGAGGTTTCAAACACACGTCAAGGGTCACGTTCATTCAGCTAGGATTAGGTTTCCAAATTAAGTCAACGTTCAAGCTGATGCAGCTAGAATTAGGTTCTAAAAGTTAGTCAGTTTTAACAATCATTCAGATAGAATTAGGTTGACCTAGTCAAGGTTCACTATTATTCAGTTAGAATTACGTTCTATAAACTAGACGACGACTAGAAATTGCTTCCAAAAACTAATCAATGTTCATGATCATTCAGCGGCATGGATAATTCAGATAAAATTAAGTTTCATAAACTAGACGACGGTCACGATCATACAGCTAGAATTAGGTTCCAAAATCTAGTCATCGGTTTAGTCAACAGCTACTGACATTCATCTAGAATTAGGTTCGAAAACCTAGTCAAAGTTCAGATCATTCAGCTAGAATTAGGTTCGAAAACCTAGTCAAATGTTACGATCATTCGGCTAGAATTAGGTTCGAAAACCTAATCAAGGTTTAGATCATTCAGCTAGAATTAGGCTCAAAAACATTGTCAACGTTTCATAAACTAGACGACGGTCAGGATCATTTAGCTAGAATTAAGTTCCAAAAATTAGTCACCTGTCACGATCATACAGCTAGAATTAGGTTCCAAAATCTAGTCATCGGTTTAGTAAACAGCCACGTTCATTCAACTAGAATTACGTTCGAAAACCTAGTCAACGGTCACGATCATTTATCTAGAGTTAGGTTCGAAAACATAGTCAAGCTTCACGATCATTCAGCTAGAATTAGGTTCGAAAACCTAGTCAAGGTTCAGATCATTCAGCTAGAATTAAGCTTCATAATCTAGACAACCGTCATGGTCATTTAGCAATAATTAAATTTCTAAAACTATTCAACGATCACTATTATTCAGTTAGAATTAAGTTTTTTGTTTGTCACGCCAGTCCACAATGTTCGAAGAAATATGTACTGCTATTTAACCTATAGCTGGGGGTTAGGGAAGGATGAATGAATTCATACTTTTCCCCTGGCAACTCGGTCGGCATTTAAACTCGGCAGGCTGATTTCGCTTATCCGTACCGTAACTGCTACCCTACGCGCACAAGAACAGTTGTTGACTCTGCAACAAGGGTAATGGTATTATTAGCCGTTTTCTTATAAGGAGACATTCGGTATTCATTGACCGAGCAACTTGTAATTGATATCTTCCTCTTAAAACATTTTTTCAGGAAAATAGGTGTCTCTTCCGCTGTTTTCGCTCTTTCTAGTATTGATGGAGGTTTCCTTCCTAACCTTTTCTTTGATGTAGTGTGGAATGCCAACATGTTGGTTATGTCATTATTTTATCTTCTTAAGCCCAGTAGCTGTTATCACTCTTTCCAGTATTGATGGAAGTTTCCTTCTTAACCTTTTATTTAAAGTAGTGTGCAATGCCAACACGTTATGTCCTTATTTTCTCTCCTATTTTTACTTGTGCCTTTCATTTTAACTGTTGCTACTGGTGAAAGTCCTCAAGTGATTCGATTTCTCTTATCTGGTATAGTCCTTTGTTTGTGATTCTGTAGCGCCAGTTCAAAAGATTCGAAAAAGTTTGGTCTTCACCAAAATACAAAGACATCACTCCCTCGTAGCCATTTTTAACAAGTGTTCTTAGAAAGCGAACATTAATTTGAGAAATATTTAAAAAAAAACAAAAACAACCTCTCTTGTCGCCATTAAGAAAATAAATTTCCATTTTTCAGATATGGATTTGATGGTCTCGATATGGATTGGGAATTCCCAGCTGTGAGAGGAAGCCCTCCAAGGCATAAACATGATTTTACAACAATGATGAAGGTTAGTAAAATACTTAATAGCTAAACTGTTGATTTTTATTTCTTCGTATTGTTACATTGGGCCTTGAGAAAAAAAAATAACTCAACCGAAGTGGATATTTTAGTTCAGAGTTGTGTAACGAAGAAGGAATGGAACGATGAAACGAAGTTTGAATCTTCATTACTTAATTTTTTATTGTCGAATATTTTATCAGTTTCACTCTGCCTCGTCGTCTCCTCCAGGTCCGAGATGCGAACCTTGCATCTCTCTGCGGTGTGTGAGAGACTCACACTGAATCATGTTTCTAGCGTTTGTTTATACATCCAACTCGTATTCACGCTTGCAATACTGGATGCAGGTATGAAGTCACGTACTTCTGTACTCGGTGGCTGGTAAAGACCTCACGTTAGCACTGATGCACCTGGATTCCGTGAAATCTAGAGTGAGTTTCGTCTACTGTCTATTCAGGGATCATGCTACAGTTAATCTGGCCATAAAAAATATGTAGTATAAAAATAGATAGGGTTAAGTAGGTACATTTATTGACTAAGAATTGTGCAAACGTGTGGAATTTTGCCAGATGTCTAATGGTATCTATATAAATAAAGCGCAGTGTACGTGTGTCCGTCCGTCCGTCCGTTTTTCCATCTCGGCGAATTATAAACAATATGAAGTATCACGCGATTAAAATAAAATAAATAAATCATTCAAAATTACATTTAAATATTGAACAGAGCGAAAGGTTTAAAAAACAATTCTTTATTAAAAGTTTAATTTCAATTTCGTTTTTCGTCGCAATTGCAACTGACATCGTCTAATTAAACCGTAATTTAAACGGTACGTTGCGCATGTTTTTTTCTTTTTTAGCACGTGTACTTTGACCTATTCGAAATATTACATATTTCGTGATTCCTAATGTCTTTTAAGAGTCATTTTATGTGAAGGGATCATAAGGAATGGGGATTTTAAAAGAAAGTAAAAATTGCGCACAAGGTAAATGTAAACAAATTACGACGATAGATTATGTAGACGAAGAACGATTATGCCGAATTAAATAAATTATATCAAATAAAGATAAAATAATTTTATTATTTCTAAATTCTTATAATTTTTACGTACATAGGACACTGAATATAAAAAATCGAAGGCTCCAAAGGAGCTAGCATAAAGACGGCGTGAACAATTCCGAGCCATTATCCATTACACCACCCGCACATCCGAGTTTACAGCACCTGGTATTCCTATATGGTCTAGCTACTAACCAAACTCGACGTTGCTTAACTTCGATGATCGTACGGGAACCGGTGTTTCAACGTGATTTGGGTGTAAGCCATAAAAAGGAAACTGCTTGCTATTCGACGTTGTTGTTTGGCGACCATAATATCAAAGGCAAAGAAATTAACAATCTAATTAAAAAAATCTACCTCCAGATTAAGGTTAGCAGAATGTGAGATGTTCAGGCCCATCTACTGTCCCAATAATCACTGCGGTTTGGGTGGGTCTATTCCACCTACATTGAGAAAATCGGAATAAAGCCAAGTATCTCATCGCTTCAGACGTCTACTTTGCTTGACACCGCAGATATTCTACAAAATTTACTGTCTTTGGTTGTTCGACTTGATAGAGAAGACCCATAATGCAAGATCTCGGTTGAAAACCAAAACCCGTGCAAAAGAAGAAAGTATACCCAGACCCGGTTACAATTTTATGAGACTACACAATACACACAAACAGAACAATCAAAACTAACCGCCCAGACTTTGTTATTAGAGACCGCAAACAAAAAAAAAGTGCCTCCTTATTGATATGGCAGTCATTGTGGACTGCAATGTATCTTTGAAGATCTTCAAAAAGCTGTCAAAATACAAGGACCTTAAAATAGAAATTTCGAAAATGTGGCATATTTGAACATCAACAATCCCTGTTGTAGTTAGAGCCCTAGGACTGGTTGGAAAAGATTGCAGTAGACTAATTGAAGGGATTCCTGGAAGTCCATCCCTCAAGGAAATACAAAAAATTGTTCTGCCAAGTACAGCCCACACTTTACGAAGGGCTTTATCTATGTAAATTTTTTTTTTTTTTTTTTTTTTTGTCAGTGGAAAGTGTCATGCTGCTATTTCTAACCTTAGGTCCCTGGGCGGGACTCGGAAAGAAATGTGTAAACGCCAGAAATCCAAGAAAATAATAATAATAATAATCGAGAGGACATACAGCTTCTTTCAGAAAAAACAATTTACTCCCAGCAGAACAGAAAGGATGGAAAAGAGGAAGTTACGGTTTCAAGGACCAACTAATTATCAATAAAAACGATATTGGAAGAGATGGAAACAAAGAAAAGAAATTTATCGACAGCATGGATCGACTACAGAAAGCCGTTCGACAGTGTTGCAAACTCATGGATAGAGAAGAGCCTAAAATTATACAGAGTATGCCCCACAAAGACAATAAGACAAATACAACATCTACAGAAGCAACCAAGACGATCTGGAAGTCACATCTAGATACTTGAGAACACCCTAGATAGAAGAACGTTAGCCGACATAAAGGTATCTCTAACTGGGCCCCACCTGCAAGATTTATATAATGATTTTATCAAAATCTATTATCCGTTCGCCCACATTTGGCAGTGATGCATGTACTCGTTATACCCTTATCGAGAAATAATATTCTTCTATACCCTTTATCCAATAGGGCATCATGATGGATGTATTGGAGTGCGTGTTTTGGGGATTTTTTTTTTTGTTTTTTTTTGCTTTGCAGTAGCATCACTTTATTGGTGTCTGGTTCTCCTGATATACACGAACCTTAGGAAAAAGAACTCACTGGAACATTTTTACATTGATTTTCACTGTGTATAAGGCCCAAGAGCCACTCGAAGTAAAGGGTTACAGAGTAAGAGGCACAGTTTATGAGGAAGATAACTTTTGACACTAGACTTGAAAATGATCGGAAAGCATCTTCTTGGGAGTTGATTGGTTTTGTTCAGCGGCATATCAACACCTCTATGGGTTCTTTAATGTCGAAATGATAATAATTTAAACTATTTTTATAAATATATTTATTATGTATTCAATTACAGATAAAACGTGTTGCTGGTCATGTTGCTTGAAAATTAATTGTTGCTATTTTTACTATAAATAAGTATTGTTGCTATTTTTACTATAAATAAGTATTGTTGATATTTTTACTATAAATAAGTATTGTTGATATTTTTTTAAAAATAAAATGTAATTGATGGTATTTTTACTATAAGAATGTATACTTTCATAGGATTTTGTTTGCCCATAGATGGGGACATAAGAGATGTTACAACTCCGCGACAGGTTATACCTGGGAACAACATCAATTAAGAGGTGCTTCCACGCTCCTCAAAAACGCCAATCTCTTGATCAGCGGCCTTGCTGCCGGATGTAGTTTATCGTCATTCCCAGGAATTACAAAGCAGCGGTCCGTGGGAAGAACCTACTTCAAGAGCTCGGTCAATAAATTGTAGTCGTGTTCTTGTTTAATTTGCTATAGATGAAATTAAAAATTGTCTCGGCTTTCAAACGACAAAAAACATATTTTAATTTATGATATTATGTATTAATATGTAGTAATTTAGTATTAATATATATTAATATATATTTAGTATTGATATATTTTAATTTATGTAGATCCATTGAATACCATATTTAAAAAAATGTTCAAATACTTCAATTGTCTTACGAGATACAATATTTCAAAAGTTACAAAAAATTAAATATGACTAATCTGTTTTTGTCCGTGTAAATGACCAAATGCCGTAAGTCAACGGACATGCACGATAAGAAAATTTTCGCAACATTAGAAGAATAAAAAAAAGGAAAAAAAAACGCGATCTACTCTGACGTTTTTAGCGCCAACTGGCTATCACAAACGGAACTTCCGGGCAAGAAATATTCGATACAAACATGTCGACCTCAACATGTAGAAAAAAATTATGACCCAGCGGGTATGAAGCAATTTTGAATGAAACAAAAGGTTGGACTTATCTCTTAGATAACGTTACGCTGACATGTTGTGAAATGACGTGAAATTGCGAGATTTTAACGAGATGCACACACACACACACACACACACACACACACACACACACACACACACACACATATATATATATATATATTTCAGCTTACAAAATAATAAATGTTTCTAAAATGATAAATGTTTATTTATAAAAGAGAAATAAAAACAAATTAACTTTTTGTTAGGAAATACTTACTAAAGCTTAAAAAAATAAGAATAGCCATAGTAATAGACGATCTAGGTGAAACGTCCGGGGTATTGTAGCCATAAATAAGGAAAACAGGACCTGTCTGCTTGTAGAGATGGCTGTGAGCAGGCCACTGGGTGCAAATAAAAGGAAGGAGAAAATTCGAAAAAAAAAAAAAAAAAGAGATAAAATACCAGGATCTTACAAAGGAGTCACAAAAAAATGTGGTAGATGAAATTTGAGATCATACCCGTAATAATTGTCTATGGTAGAACTACCGAAGTGGAAACTCTCCAAATAATACTGGGTTATGCAAAGATACTTAGAAATCTAGGAAGTTTTTAGGAGACTTGCCGTCACGTAATCTTCAGTGTTGACCACCAGGCGTGATTTAAGAAAAGAAACAGATAGGAGCAGATAAGTTCGCTTATGGTCCGGTTCACACTCCTCCCCAGTCTTTTGAACAGCAGTAGAGGTTTGTCCTTCGCTTCCTGTTTAGGATTGGCTTTCTGGTTCTTTCTAAAGTCTTTTTTATTTTGATTGGGGTAAATTAATTTTAAAAAAGTTCATTATTTGTGGGTCACACAGGATATATGTAATACTATTTCTAATGTCATCTCCCTTTGAGACGTAAGCGACCATGGCTCTCCAAATATTTGTTTTTCAACATTAAAAATATGTATAACAGGAGTAGATAGGTTCGCCTATCGTCCGATTCACACTGCTACCCGGTCTTTTGAACAGGCTTAGAGGTTTATCCCTTGTTTCCTGTATAGGATTGGGTTTTCAGTTCCTTCTAAAGTCTTCTCATTCTCTTTCCTTCCCAGTAGACCCATGCGTCTTAATGGTATTACCGCCTTCCTTGGGCTGAACTGATCTAAAAAAGACAAAGATAAGAGACACAGTGTTTAACAACGTTTAACAATATTTCGATAGCATGACTGTCTTCTTAAAGTTATGTTTAAAAGTTGTATACAAGTATAAAAAAATATTTTTAAATTACAAATCTTTGTTCAAACGTCGCCTGTTTTGAGATAATAATAATAATAATAATAATAATAATAATAATAATACAATTCCTGTTGTAGTTGGAGCCCTAGGATTGGTTGTAAAAGATTCCAGTAGACTAATTGAAGGGATTCCTGGAAGTCCATCCCTCAAAGAGATACAAAAAAATGTTCTGACAAGTACAGCCTACACTTTACGAAAGGCTTTATCTATGTAATTTTTCTTTTTTTTTTTTTTTTGCAGAGGAAAGTGTCATGATACCATTTCTAACCTTAGGTGCCTGGGCGGGACCCGAAAAGAAATGTGTAAACGCCAAAAATCAAAGGAAATAATAATAATAATAATAATAATAATAATAAAAGAAAGCAAAGACAAATACAAGCGACCAGATACAGAAACAAAGGCAAGATAAAACACTTCATGGCCAATACTCTGCCCGTACCAAACAAGCTGACGTAGACAAAACCCGTACCCATCAGTGGCTACGTATTGCAGGGTTGAAAGCTGAAACTGAAGGTTTTATCCTTGCTGCACAGGACCAATGTTTGTTAACTAAGAATTATCAAGCACATATACTAAAATAATGTGTTAGCCCAAAATGCAGATTCTGTGATAAATATTCAGAAACAATTGAACATCTTCTATCAGGTTGCACGATATTGGCATCCACTGAGTGTAAAACCCGGCATGACAGAGTGGGCCAATATCTGCACTGGAAAATCTGCAACTTCTACGGGAAGGAAACTGAAAGAAACTGGTATGAACACCATCCAGACACTGTTACGGAGATAGGACCTGTTACAATTCTATGGGACTACACAATACACACTGATAAAGCAATCAAAGCCAACCGCCCAGATATTGTTATTAGAGACAACAAACAAAAAAGTGCCTCCTTATTGCTATGGCAGTCCCTGCAGACTACAATGTATCTTTGAAGATATTCAAAAAGCTGTCAAAATACAAGGACCTTCAAATAGAAATCTCAAAAATGGCCACAGGGGAACATCAACAATCTCTGTTGTAGTTGGAGCCCTAGGATTAGTTGGAAAAGATTCCAGTAGACTAATTGAAGGGATT